CTTATCTGGATAAACGTGAAGGAGACAGATAGAAAATAGTCAAGTCAGTAGTAGCTTTATGCATCCGAATAATGAGTGGAGGCACAGTGAGTGATGCTTCTTATCTAGCACTTTGCTCCAGTATTTTTTCGCTGGCTTAGTTTTCCCATCCTCTTGAACGCACGTTCAGTGGCGTCCGTAATTCGTTTCATCTTCGATTCTTATTGCCCCGAGTACTGTCCGCAAACTGGTGCATAAGTGTAGACAGATTGTAGACACAAGCATGTCGAATGAATGCAAGTATTGTTGCAGCGTTTGTGTATATAAACAAAGACGTACATATATGTGGCTTAGTGATCGCTCGCAGGCTCGGTTGCCGAATGACTCACAGTGAACACATTGTTCCTCAATGTATGGCGATCCAATTCTGCAACTTGCATAGGACTGTATAAAGCAGCATGTGTGACAATAGCCATAGAAACAACCCTCCCTCTCCGTTCTGAACACACTTACTTTCTTACACTGTCGACATCTCAGCGACGAAATAACTCATACTTTAACTGAAGGACAGATGATACACAGGAAAGGAGATAGTCGGTTCGCGCTGTAGACCCCTGTTCCATAGGGATAGCAATCCGTCAGGGCATCCAGACCACCCATGACTGAACACTGGTCCGTCAGCGGTGGGTCTGCGACTCGTTTCTCGCACTACTTCACCTCCCTCCCAATGTGTTTTGGGAGTAGCAGTTGCCGTCGTCATTCTTTTTATTGTTGATGTTGTTTCAGTCCTAAATTCACCAACACTTCCTTGTATTCATGATAAATGTCTTCCACATATATCTTTCGAACCTCCACTCCCCTCTCGCGATTGTGTCGTTTTACCTATATCTGTCTGGCAGCTTGTCATTCACTGTCCCGCTAACCAGTTATACACCCAAATGTTGCACCAACTGTCGTTGGCCATTGATGTAGGTAGATTTAGCGCTGGTTGTTGATCCTCGGTCGGAATCATGGTCCTATGATTTCCCGAGGCAACGGATCGATATCGGACAATGTGCTCTCCCTCTCAGGAACCATGTTACAGTCTCACTCTTTCTGTTCTCTATTGGTGAAATAAATCATGCATCTGCTCTAGGTGTATGATATCAACATTCATGTATCGTGCTCGACTTGAAAGATTATTCTTAGTCCTTCCTCCTCATAGGATACACTCATTCTCCTATTTTAATTGGATTAGTGAAGCGGATACCTGATTGTACGGAATATTTGTTGCTTTTATGGTCAATCGCAATAATGTCAAGCGAGAAAGCTATCGGTGATTGATGAATGCCGTTGTTCAGTGGGACAGCATTGGTCTGATAAATTCTTGCGAAAGACACCTGAATGGTTATACAAATAGCCATACCAGAACGGTAAAAATGATCGAATTGGTCAACATTACTTATTGCATTCCACTTCAAAAGTGTTTAGTTAGGATAACTTATAGGTTTTAATATCGCGAACATCGAGAAATAATTGTACGGTTGGCGTATTATCTCCTGTCGTGTCCGAACATAACCGCGAACGAACGGAAGGGCGTTCGATCGAGCATGAAATATGTGTGTGTGTATGAATTAATTCATCCTTTTTACCTAAACGAGATTTGCCCTTTCTGTTTAGGTTAAAAAAACTCACTGTTGTTTGGTGCATTCATATTTATGCATGTGCTTCTATGCCTCTTTCCCCACTCGATTGAACTGACCTTTAACGCACGAGAAATGTCACTGTGGGCACTTGTGAACATGTATACAGCTAGCTAGGTCCCGGTGACATTTGCCCA